CATCACAAACATATTTTTATAAATTCGTTCTTTCAGACGGTTTGTGAGTTTTCAGAACTTATTCTGGACCTTCTGTGTTCCAGTTCTTCAGAACCAAAGCGAAGGGCTCAGACGATGGAACCTACGCTGTGAGTCCCGTCGTCTCGTCGTGTCGCAGCTCAGATTTTTCTTGAATTCGTCTTCATGTGTTTTTGTGTTCAGTCTCTCAGCAGAGCGACGGGCGACACCTACGAGCCGCTGATGACCGACCCGGAGCGAGGACGGGTGAGTCCAGATGTCCGGTTCTGAAGGTTCTGGTTCTGTTCAGATGCTTCATCTTGTTTCTTCTCGTTGTGTCTCTCAGAACCGCCGAGCGCCGGATGACTCCACCTACACGGTACCAGACGAACCGTCCAGACCAGAACCGCAGTGACCTCTGGATGTTTATCTAACTGGTTCTGGTTGGGTTTCAGGGCCTGCAGAAACGATCAGAACCGACGTATAAAGAGCTTCCTGTGAGGAGAGAGGTGAGCGTCTGAACACGATGAGGTTCTGTCAGGTTCTGGAACCGGTTGCATTAAAACTCTTGTTTTTGCAGCGTCAGCGGAAGAACGAGCAGGTTTACCAGGTGAGTACCGACCGGACCGGACCGGACCGGACCGACCCGTCCAACATCTGCTCTGATCAGCTGATTGATTAACTGATGGGCTGCTTTCAGGGTCTGAGCTCGGTCACCAGAGACACCTACGACTCCCTGCAGATGCAGCCGCTTCCGGCCCGCTAACCGGGTCGGTTCTGAAGAATCCTGCAGATCAGCACCAAGTTTTACTCTGATTGGACCCGACGGCTCCTCAACATCTGGGAATTTAAGGCTTTTTCCACCAGATTTGGAGCTTTAAAATTCTGAAATATGACAGTTTTTTATTTAGAGCTCATCAATGTGATCAATAGTTTTGATTAGTTTAAAGGGAAATCAATAATTCCACTCATTAATTAGCATTCGATGCCGAGAAGTTTCACTGTTGTGTAAATTTTGTATGAGGATGAGAAACAGGAAACCTGCTCAATAGTTTCTGCTTCTAATGTCTGACTGTGTGAAGTCTGAAGAACCTGAAGTCAGTTTGAACTGGATGGAAACACAAGAAGGACAATTTAAACACATTTAGTCAAATCAGAGATAAAATCAAATGAAAATAGATATTTAGGTTAACATTAATATGATGGACATTATGATCATTTAATTGTTATTCTGCTGTTTTTAATCATATTTCTTGTCTCCTATGACTCATTTTTATTAACTTTTGTTGTTTTTTATGTTTTCCTGAGAATTTCTGCTGTTTTTAGAATGTTATTAAATGTAAAGCTTTTATCTGATGATTAATGAGTCTTAAATAAACATCTGTTACTCATTTCTGCCTCCTGGTGGACAGAATGAAGGTTTGCAATAATAAAGATTACCTATAATTTATTCAATTTTGCCAGGAGAATTAGTTACTTATTTAATTGGAAGATTGTTTCACTCATAATTTGGGTAAATGTTATAAATGTTATCAGTGAAATAATCTGCATGATTCATCAATATTAAGAAATAATTGACTGAAAAGCTCATGTGTTTTGCTAAAGTTATTAGTCACTGGCTCCTAGTGAGGGACCAGAACAAGAGCAGCAAGAGACCAACTAGAACTAGAAGTCAGGGTTTCCTCTGCTTCATCAGCCTGCCGGGCTGATACTGTTGTACTGTAGTGAGAAGGGGCGGAGCCTGAGGTGAGTCAGGAACAATAAGATCAGGAGAAACAGATTATTCACTTTTTATCAGTAAAACAATCAGAGGAGGGCTTCACAACCCTCCTCTGAATTATGACACTCAAAACTTTGTAATATTTTTAACCCAAAAACGCAGCGGGCCGCTGATGGACGACCTTATGACCCCACCCTGAAGTGTTCCCAGGAAATTCCTGCATCAGGAATTTTGTGTTAAATGATATTTACTAGTTTGATTAACATTGATCTGAAACCTTCACCTTCCATTTATGACACATCAGAAAAGGTTCCTGCTGGACGGATCTTAATGTTTGGAGGTTGAACCTTTTTTTTTCAGGCATGTTGGCAACGAGGAAACATTCCTGCACAGCAGAGACAGAAAACTGGTAAACATCTTCCAGTGAACGGCTGCAGCAACTTAAAACCTGTTTGTAACTCTGCAGGTTTTTAATTTTCGTTGGAAACGTTTGAGACAAACTAGTTGAACAACTTAAAGCCTCCATCTAAGAGAGGCCAAAGATTAAAGAAGTTTATGTTCAGTAGTGAAGGAGGATCAGGTGAGAATCATCATGGAAAGACCAAAGATAAAATGAAAAATAAAAAAGATTAGAAACTGAAAAGTTGTGAAATTTTTGCCATTTAGGAAAATGTTAAACTTTAAAAATGTTGTGAACTATGTTTCAGATTCTTTATATTATTATTATTATTATTATTATTATTATTATTATTATTATTATTATTATTATTATTATTATTATTATTTGACTTTTAAATGAACTTTCTGGCCAAAATTTAGCATCAGAGCTAAAAAGATAATTAAATGTGTAGCAGTTGAATGATGTTAGCTAATGCTAATGCTAATTAATGTCTATGGTGACCTTTGACCTTCCTGCCAGGGTTCTTGAATTATTCTGAAATGTTTGTTTTTTTATTTAGAAAAGTAAACAAAAACTATTTTAAACAGGATCAGGAACTGAAGTCGGTCATGTAGTGAAAGACGACTGGATGGATCCGACTGACTGAAACTTTAACAACAAACATCCACAAGTTACTGGATGAAAAACTATTTTCTCCTTTCTGGGTCTTTTTCTTCTGCCCAGATCATTGATTAATATCTGGATCAATACAGTGGAGATGCAGAGGAGATAATAATGTTCCTGTAAAGCTGATCACAGTCAAAAGACGTTTTTACACCAAGATTGAATCAAACTGACGACTTTAAAACTTTTACACAGTAATGTTTCATTTTTAGATGTTGTCTTTCATTATTATTGTAGCAGAATGAAGCCTGCCCTCAGGATTGAGGACATGTGGCACCTATTGCCTCATAATCAGTGTGAGCATAAAGGAGACTCTCTTCAGTGGGAAGGTCACCTGGTTGACTTGCAGTGGTCGAAACTCTGAAATCAGTAAGTAATGTTTCTCCTTCTGTATAAGGCCTGTAACTTGAGCTGGATAATTCAAATAGTTTAAATCTAGAAGCTGCCTGAAGTCTCCTGTTTGATGGGGGTGTGGCTGTAATTTACCCTCCCAGTTCAGCTTGGCAACAGAAAACGGCTCAGTAGTTTTATATTGTACTCATGCAGTTCAATAACATGAAATGACAATTATTTCTATATTAAAACATACTGGTAATCGGATCCTCCTGCCATTTGGCTGGAAGGCTCTGGTCGGGGTGGAGTCATCCAGCTCTGCTAGGTGACAATGGCTTCCTCTTCCTCCTGCCATTTTTCTAAATCTCTCCTATTAATCTAACTTCATTTCAGACATAAAGCTGCTGCAGCTCACTGGAGGCCCTGCTGCTTTGTTTTGCTTTGTTTGTTTTTTATATCCTGCTTTGTTTTCAACTATTGGTTTGGTTTCTGGGTTTATCATTTTTGATTAAATTTGCTTTGTTTGACCCCATCCTCTTGTCTCCAGGCTGAAGGCAGTAAGGGTGGTGGGGGGGCATCCAGGGGCCTGGACCTGTGTGATGTGCAAGTGACCAGTGTTGGGATTTCTTCACGATCAAGTGTCTGTTCACAAGAGCTCGGTGATTTATTTTGTTTTAGGAACCAGGACCCCACATTTGGGCTGGTAAACCTCAGTACGATGCAAATCTCTTCCCATTGTGGTTCTTTAATTTTTGTTTTTAAAACATGGATCAATGATATTAACTATATTATGGTGGAATAAAGTTTTGTTCTCGTTGTTTACGAACCTTAAGTGCCTTACTGACCAAGTTCTTGGGTGCAACTCCCAACGTGGCGTTGACACCTGTTGGTCACCCTGGTTTGAAGGGACAGAGGAGTCGATTCATATACTCGTGTTGCCACACGATTATTTTTACCTTTAATCTGCAGTCATGAAAATGGTTCCTGTCTTTGCTGCTCAGGTTATAAATGTTCAAACTGGTTGAACTGGTGGATGAAGAACTGGAGGCTGCAGAGCCGACAGGCTGGAAAACCATCAATCTGTCCAGATCTTCTGATCAGAAATCAGAACCAGAACCAGGCACCAATAGAGAGCAAATCAATCCCTAAAATGTCATATTTAAGCTTTATCAGAAGCAATTTGTTAAAAATGCAGGAAAGACATAAAATTAAAATATTGTAGAGTTAAAAGTGAGGCCGTCTGTGTGACAGATGAACCTCGACCCAAACTGAGGAAGGAGGAAACATTCCTGCACAGCAGAGACAGAAACTGATCTTCCAGTGAACGGCTGCAGCAAGTTAAAACCTGTTTGTAACTCTGCAGGTTTTTAATTTTCGTTGGAAACGTTTGAGACAAACTAGTTGAACAACTTAAAGCCTCCAGGCTAAAAGAGACAAAGGTTAAAGAACTTTATGTTCACGAATGAAGGAGGATCAGGGTGAGAATCATCATGGAAAGTTTCCTTCATATCAACATTAAACAAGATTAAATAAATGAATAAAATCTGTATTTAATATGAACATGTCAGATGGAGAAACATCAACATTTCAAGGTTCTTGGTTCTGTTGGCTCAGATCATAACAAGCAGCAACTATTATTAGTTTTATTTGTTAAATTTCTTTATAGATGAAACTGAAAATCTCCATTATTTTAATCAAATATTGATTAAAATCCTGAATATGTTTCAAACTTAAAGAAGCTTTAAACCTAAACGTGAACTTGTTGTTTAACATTTATTTCCTGGTTTCTTGTTATTCAACAGGTGAACACACCTCTGCTGTCAGGGGGCGGAGCCTCAGGTGGGTCCATTAAAGTTCTGGAGAATCGGTCCGGTTCTCCAGTTCGCTCCACTGGGTTTGTGTGAACAGAAGGAGAAGCAAAGATCTGATCAGGTGAGTTTTAACTCCACTTTCTTCTGGTTTCCAGTCCTGACTGGTTTCTCTCTCTGAGCTGCTGGTTTGGTTCTGGTTCTGGTTCAGCTGAGATATCTGGTTCCTGGTTGGTGGATGAAAATATTTCGATATGAAGTCAATAATTTATTGATCAGAGAGGAGCCAGAGGACAGCTGATCACATTTCAATCAATTATTGATCAGTAAGAAGTGATTATGGTGAAATATCAACACAGCGCCCCTAGAGTATTTAAAAACATCCACTGCTGTTATTTAGACCTGAACTGAGTTAAAACATCAAACCATCAGAACCAATAAAAATTACTATTGGACCCGTTTACACACCCAGCAGGAAGTCGGCCATTTTGGATCAAATGTCTTGTTTGTTGTTTTTTAATGTAAAACAAATAAAAAATGTCAGATTTGTCCTGGAGAGCTCAGAGGTTTAAGCAGAAGAAAACTGTCCTCCACTCTGATCGTCATTCATTTTCTCTCAATCAATCATTTTTAAATGATTGATTGATATTAAATCACAAATCTGCTAAACTATTGGTTGAATCACAGCGATTTCTAATAATCTATATCACTGTTAAACACTTAAAAGAAAACCTGTTAATGTATTTTATATTTCAGTCACTTCATACATTCAATGACAGTGATATTAAATAATTTTGTTGTTTTTAACAAAGTTTTAAATAGTTTTAAATTTTGGTGAATGAGAGAAATTTACAGAAGTTTGGCTATCTGTGAATCTTTAGAGTTTTATTTTACTCTGTTTTTGATTCATTGTTAAATGTTTGGATTTTTCTATTTCATATCAATGAACTGAGTCTGGTGGCAGGATTTTGACCTTTGACCCTAGTGGTTCAGTTGTTTCCCTTCTCTGTAAAAATGTAGCAAACTTGATTGTGAAAAGAGACAAAACGGCGCCACCTAGAGTGACTCCAACACGATCAACATCTTTCCACAGTTTTTTATTGTCCAGTAGTGAGAAGGGGCGGAGCCTGAGGTGAGTCAGGAATCATAAGATCAGGAGATCGTTCACTGTTTATCAGTGAAACAATCACAATTAAAGTTTTATAGTTGCTTTAATAAGATTGGATAATTTATCTAAACTTTTAAAGCAGAAACTGGGATTAAAGTCTGACTTTAAATCCAAAACCATCTGAAAGTTTTACACCCTTTAAACATCATCATATTTTCATTTCCCAGTTTCCTGATATTCATGTGAAACCAAAACAAAGTTTAATATTAATGATATTATTTAAGTTGTTGCTTAATTAGATAAAATCTGATGAACGGTTTTCAGATTTTCAACCAAATTATTGATCAATCATTTCAGTCCAGGCTGCAGGTGGTTCAGTTGAAAGCTGATCAAGCTGTAAAGAATCAACAGCGCCCTCCAGAGGAACAACAGTCTAATGACATCTGAACCTGGTGACATCACAAATCCACTTCCTGTGGTTTGTTTATTAGTGCAGTTTGTTGATCTTTAGGTAAAAAGTTTTAGAACCAGGATCTCAGTTTCAGGCTAAGTTAACTCAGAGTTTACAGAAGCAGAGTTTGTTGAAACTTATTTAAGTGATTATAATCAGAACCTAAACATGAGAATCATTGACTTTGAATGTTTGTGTTCTGAGATGAATCATCCTGAGAGATGAACTAATTATCAGGAATCTCAATCTGTCCCAACCAAACCAAATAATCTCAGATTACATGATGGTGTTTGTTGAATGAATATTGATCTTATTACAATCATCTATCATCTCTGTACAGCAGATGTTCACATATTAATCCTCTCATTATTGTCAGACTCCAGAGACGGTTTGTTTTCTGTTTTTATGAAGCTCTTCTTGTTCCACTGAGGAGTGGAGGAATATTTCAAGCCTCAGCAGGTTTCAGCATCTCACTTTAATCCATCTGTGATTCTCCAGAGTGAGAAACTGAAGACGTTGATTACCTGCATGTCTGATCTTGTCTCAGGATTCAGATATGCAGAGCTTCAGTTTGCTCTTTCTTCTACCAATCATTCAGATCCGTGTGAAGTTGGTTCCTCTGAAGAAATGAGTTCTGGTCTACGTCTCTGTTTATGGGGAAAAACAACCTGAAGTCTTAATTCCTCCTGCACAATCAAGTTAAAGTCAAACTGTTTGACTCTGACATAATTTTATTGGTGAAACATCAAAGTTTGAGGCCTGGATCAAAACATTTAACATTTTGATAACTTTTAATTCTCCAAGGTTTACAAGAATACTGTCAAGAAAATCTGAGATCATCCCACTTCCCCATGCTGGAGAGTTTAATTTAACAGTAACAATAAATAAAGTTACCTTTAAAATCAGTCACACAAGCGACATCTAGACCCAACAGTAGACCCAGACTGCAATAAAATAAATCTGGTTGTGTGTGTTGTTTTAATTATAATTATCTTTTTTATCTAATCTTAAGAAATCATAGAGAGAGATGAGACAGGAAGAGCAGGTTTCCTGGAAACTGAGGAAGTTTCCAGCCTGCAGATTTATAAAAATATCTGAGATTATTCCTTATTAAAAAGCATAAAAGTTTGAAAGGATGAAATGTAAACATTTTGAGTAATTAGATAAGATTTAAAGTAAAGTACTTATATTAATATTGGTTTACTTATAACAATACTTACTGACACTTGTGGAAAAACGTACAAGTAAGACAAGTAACTGTAACTTCTGTAATAACTCACATTATAATAACAAGAGTAATAAGTTGAGCAACCCTGATCCAACCAAAGGTTCCTCTTTTGCTCTCACCCTTTATTGGGTTTATTCACCATTTTGGTGCATTAGCATTGGCTAACACTGTTGCTGTGCTTGTTTCATTGGCTGATGGACAGATGACCTCATATCCATCACTGTCTTGGAGACATTTTGTCCTGATGTCTTGGCTAATGTCTCAGGGTTGCTCAACGATGCTCCCATGTCTCTGAGACGTTTAAGTTGTTCAATCATCTATCTTCAAATGAGGCGTTGGTCATCTCTGCTCTCCTGTTAGTCCTCTTTGACCCTTGACCTTTCACCTTCTATCTACCTCCAACACATCATCAGTGATCTTTAATAGCAGTTACACATTTTACACCATTTCAATGTTAAAATCACTTTCATAACCTTTTAGTTCCTTTAATTTAGCATTAATTTATAATTTTATGATAATCACAGCTTATTACTCTTATTATAATTATAATGTGAGTTATTACACATGTTCTGAAAAGAAACCAAGAATAATCTATTATTGTAATTATTTAATACCAAAGTTACAGTTACTTGTCTTACTTGTACGTTTTTCCACAAGTGTCAGTAAGTATTGTTATAAGGAAACCAATATTAATATAAGTACTTTACTTTAAATCTTATCTAATTACTCAAAATGTTTACATTTCATCCTTTCAAACTTTTATGCTTTTTAATAAGGAATAATCTCAGATATTTTTATAAATCTGCAGGCTGGAAACTTCCTTCCTCAGTTTCCAGGAAACCTGCTCTTCCTGTCTCATCTCTCTCTATGATTTCTTAAGATTAGATAAAAAAGATAATTATAATTAAAGCAAAGTTTGCAGGAGACAAAAACAACACACACAACCAGATTTATTTTATTGCAGTCTGGCTCTACTGTTGGGTCCAGATGTCGCTTGTGTGACTGATTTTAAAGGTAACTTTATTTGTTGTTACTTGTTACGTCCGCCAGGACGCCATATTTAAAAGGACACGTAGACAAAAGGATTCCAAGAAAAATATTCCTTTATTCATTTTTTTTCTTTTCTTTTAGACTTCCTTGTCCTTTTCTACTTGTTTTTTTCTGTAAAGGAAGGAAAGAACCCCTCTTCCCGTGTCCCAAAACGTAACAAAAAAGTAAGAGAAAAAAGTTCAACAGAAAGGTGGACCTGGTGAGCCGGTCCAAAGAAACAAAAAGGTACAGCAGGGGGCCAACCCTATACAGGGCCGTCGAAGCCCCTGCTAGTACCAGACTAAAGAAAATAGGGAAAAATAATATAAGCTATTAACACAAAATGACCGAAAACAGGACAACCGGACTCACCAGGCCAAAACAGACCAAAAAACAACCCAAAAAATCCCCATGGCAGGCAGGAGGCATCACAAGGGTCCAAAGGCCGACAAAGTTGGAGGAGCCTCCTCTGGGCGCATCCCTCTTGGAGGAGGAGATGGAGGTGGATGAGCGAGCGAGAGAGAGCGGCTGGGCGGCCAACCATTACAACCCAGCCTATATATAGGCCGTCCTCGCCCACCAATTAAAGCCAAACTAATTACAAAAAGAATCACTACACTAAAAATATATTAAACACAAAACCACTCAACTTAAATCAATACAAGATTATTTAAGAAAATAAAAATAATTAGAGAGTGCCCAAAGAACATAACATTACTATTAACTGAAATCTCCAGCATGGGGAAGTGGGATGATCTCAGATTTTCCTGACATAATAAACACAAAAAACACAAAGTGATGCAACATAGAATCAATAATCAAAAACTACATTAAGTCAATGCCATAACAATGCAAATAAAACATTTTATAATATTTAACTCAGCCAATGGACTTTGATCTATTGGGCCCTTCAAAATCTCTGTTAATAAACATGAACCTACTTTATGCAGACAATGCAGTCAGTATTGGATACACTTGCAGCACTTTCAGCCAATAATCAGTGAGTATTGATTACATTTCAAATTCAATTCTAAACAGGTGAGTTTTTAGTTGAGATTTAAAGGATGTCAGGGTTTCAGCTATTTTACAGTTTTCTGGAAGTTTGTTCCAGATTTGTGGTGCATAGATGCTGAAAGCTGCTTCTCCTCTGTTGGTTCTGGTTCTGGGGAACCAGAACCTGAGAGGTCACTTGTGTGATCGTCCATCTCTCTCAGAGGTTCTATTAGCGACTGTCAAACCAGGTCGCTGAGCGGCTGAATAGGGGAATCTTTGTTGACGCGCCAGCTGATCAAAAACGCAATCCAAGTTGCATTTAAGTTGATTTATTTTGCCAATATCCAAAGCGTCAGTGTCCACACAGCATAAAAACGGATCCGTAGCTTCTGGTCTTGTCCTAAACTAAGTGATTTCTGGAAGGACACTTTTGAAGCTCTCAGTGTTATTTTCAGGAGAAATGTTCCAAAAACTCCCTTGGTGGCAGTTCTGGGAGTAATACCCGATGGAATGGACAGGAAGGGTGATAGATATCTTCTAAGTATCTTGCTCACAGCAGCCTTGAAATGTATAACTATCAGGTGGCTGAAACCAGGGCCTCCTACATATAACACATGGATACAAAAATCTGGGACATTTATCTGATGGAAGGAATCACATATTCCTTAAGGCTTCAAAAAACAGTTTTTGATATAAGGTGGAGCCCGGTCTTACCGTTACTAATTCAATGACGCCCTTACAGGATTGCTTGTTGGTACCTGTATGTACCCATGGGTCAGTTAGAATACCATGGTGTTTAAGAATGTGAGGACCATCTTATGTCAGAGGGGATTGTGTGGTATTTTGTGTTTGTATTATTTTTATTTTATTTTGTTGTTCTTGTGTGATGTTTGTACTGGTATGTATTCCTTATTGCCTATGTTAGATCATTTGATGTCTCATCTTTTGTCAAGTTATAATGCAGAAGATATATGTCAGTAAGAGACAGACGAATGCAACTGTGGACATGTGTTGTTAAAAATAAATAAAAATAAAGTTTAAAAAAATAAAAAAACGGATCCGTAGAAAAAACAGTGAATAAAGACAAAATGTGCTAAATTGAAGCGGTCAGCAAAAAGTAAACCTTCCTCCATCACCCACTCACTACTTCACCCAGGTGAGCAACAGCTGATCTATAATCACTAACGACATCACGTGATCCCCTCTACGCCTGTCCACAACAGATTCCCTTTTTAGTTCTTAGTATCAGCGTTAGGGAAAGACAAACTAGATGATTGATTTTACTTATTTGATTATTTCTGCTACTTCATTAAGCTGTACTGACTCTTGCAAAATTGCTTTACTAATAAAATATTTAGCATAAGAAAATGTAAAAGATGTTGTGGACATTCAATTAATGAGTCACCTCAAAGTTCTTTGATGGTAGTAAAATAGCTGTGATGTTTGATTCTGGGGAAGAAAAACTAGGTCATGTTTTATAGGTTGCTTTAGCCCAAATCTAAAACTACATCCTTGGGACTCGCCAGAGTCACTAAAACCAACCTGATTCAGTAACAAGTGCAAGTTGTAACAAAGAGAAGGAGCGACCATTAACAGATGTGCTCTGTGGAACCAGTTGGCTGCTCAGTCTGGCTGATTCACAGGGGGAAGAAGGACGAGACATCTGGATGGAGGCCGTCAGTAACCAGGCGAATCCTTTCTGGATGCAGCTAAAACAGAGTTTACTTCAGTTCTGGACAGATTTAGGAAACTCAATTCACCTGTTAGACAGAGAGCTGGTAGCACATCTCCCCTCTCTGAAGAGGAAGTAGTGACTGAGAGAGGAGAGAGTGAAGGAGGGGGGCAGAGGTTGCGCAACAACAATACCTGCTGTAAGAAGCCAATACATCTAAATTCCTTGGACTAAATTCATCATGTGACATGTCAAAAATGACCTTTGACCCTCCCTCCAATAGTTTATTTCCTGTGTTGAAGGCTTTGTGTAGCAAGTTTCAAATATCTACAGTGAGTCGTTTTGATTGGGTCGCCTTTAGGGTTGTAGAGGTTTTAATTCCACTAAGTTCTCCAGTTTGGTCCCAGTCAGCAGCTTCAGCAGAACCAGTCAGAACTTGGTTGTTTCAACAGGATGAAACTCTGTCAGTCCAGATTCGTCCCTCTCATCCCTCTGTGTCTTTATTTCTGCTGCTTCTCATCATCACTCAGAGGAAGACGGCAGAGACGGTGAGGACAACTGGTCACCTGAAAACTAAACGCCTGAGCAGGAGGCCAGACGCATTTCTGGAGGACATTTAATCAGCTGGTGATGGCAGCAACACATTACTGTTCAATGGCAACAAACAGGATTTAAAGATGTTTTCATTTCAGTCTGAAGGAAATCTGATCCTAGAATGACTCACAGTCGCTTTCCATCCTTAAATACAAACATTTGGTTCAATAGTGTTGATTTCAGATGTTCTGGAAGAATCAAGTCAGTTTTCAAAAGACAAATTTTAGTTTTAAGGATTAAAGAAATTGTGTTTTTCAGTGGTGTGTTATTGTGTGATTTAAATGAGTATTTTCATCTCTAATCTGGTATTTTTCCATGTAGTTTATCATTTATACCACAGTAAATTATTTATGAGACAAAGTCTGAAACATAATAAATCCTTCATGTTTTCCAGATAAAAGATGGCGCAGCAGCAGGAAGTCCAGCAGGAAGTCCAGCAGGAAGTGGATTTTGGTAAGTGATCAGAAGCAGAAATGAACCTTCATGAAGGAACAAACGGACCAATCACAGCCCGTGTTGCTGCCATGTGATGAACCTCAGCCTCAGAGTATTTATTGTTTTCATGCTTCCTGTTCAGTGAAGCTCTGCTGGAAACTGAGTTTCTGTGAAACCTGAAGATAAAAACTGGACTCAGATGGAAACAGAACTAAAAGGAACCAAAGTGAAAAAGATCTTCAGGAATATTTACTATATTCACTAATTAATTTATCCAATAATCACATCATTTATTACTAATTTATTATCAAAGACTGTCTCTGTCTTTTATCCCAACATTTGGTGACAGAGATGCTGAAGCTTAGAGATGGAGATTAAAAATTTGTTGAAAGTAAAAGACAGAAAAATGATGAAAATGTTAATCAGTCGATATTTTCATCAATAACATCAGAGTTTCCTGTTTTCCTGAAATAGTTCAGCTCTGTATTTAGAAGGTGTTTGTTTTTTGTTCTTCCTGCAGTGAGGAAACAAATGATGAACAGAAGCTTCATTTGTTCTCATGTAGACAGAATCAGTGGTCGTCTCTCAGATATGAGGCAGAAACACAACAGCAGGTTCAGACCTGAGGAGCTGATCAACAGACTCTGAGGAGAATCTCTGGATGGAGCAACAGGAAGAGTTGATCTTCATCAGGTTTGTCTCTCAGATGTAAATTAATCCTGTTTCTGTTTCTGCCTGCAGAGGAAAAACTTTTCAAGGTTCGCTCTGAGTTTGTGAAGAGAGTTTCTGTGGAAATCCTGAAAAGGCTCCTTGATGAGCTTCTATCAGATGAGGTGTTTGGTGATTTGGAGGATGAGGGTATACTGCAGATGAACCAAACCAGAGCAGACAAGGCCCGCGACACCATAGATGCTGTGAGAAAGAAGGACAGAGAGCCTGCAGGTTGATGATCAAACATCTTCATCACATGGATCCAACTCTGTCCAACCAGCTGGGTTTGTCCTCTGCCTCCTTTGGTCCAGGTGAGACACAAAGTTCATTAAAGCTGCTATTACAACCTCTACTGGTTTTGATTAAACTATAAATGATAAATAAATCTGATCTCTTCTAATAGTTCCTGATTTCAAAATTTTTCACCACAGAGAAAAAGTTAAATATATTAATGTCCTTTGAGAATATCAAAATAACTATTTTCATTATGTTTAGCTGAAGTGTCTGCTCTCGTTTATTTATTTTTTTAGATTTTGATGTTCGGTGTCAACAGGAGCTTAAAAACCATCTGAAGATGAAGATCCAGAGTCTCTCTGAAGGCGTCGCTGAACTTGGAAATAAAACCGGTCTGAACCAGATCTACACTGAGCTCTACATCACAGAGGGGTCACTAGAGAGGTCAACCAGGAATGAGGTCAGACAGATTGAAACAGCATCCAGGAAACAAGAAACAGTCAGAAGAGAAGACATCTTTAAAGTCCCACCTGGAGGAGATCAACCAATCAGAACAGTGATGACCATGGGCGTGGCTGGCATTGGGAAAACACTGTTAACACAGAAGTTCACTCTGGACTGGGCTGAAGGCAAAACCAACCAGAACATTGATTTCATATTTCTACTCACCTTCAAAGAACTGAATTTACTGAGAGAGAAAAAGTTCAGCTTATTAGAACTGATTCATGAACGATTCACTAAAACCAAAGGAATCAGAAACTTTGAATCGTTCCAGGTTCTGTTCATCTTTGATGGTCTGGATGAAAGTCGATTTAATCTGGATTTCAAGAACAATCTGATCCTGACTGATGTTACAGAGTCCAGCTCAGTGGATGTTCTGCTGACAAACCTCATCAGGAAGGAACTGCTTCCCTCTGCTCTCCTCTGGATAACCACACGACCTGCAGCAGCCAATCAGATCCCTGCTCAGTGTGTTGACATGGTGACAGAGGTCAGAGGGTTCACTGACCCAGAAGGAGGAATACTTCAGGAAGAGATTCAGAGATGATGAAGAGAAGGCCCAGCAGGATCATCTCCCACATCCAGAAATCCAAAAGTCTCCACATCATGTGTCACATCCCCGTCTTCTGCTGGATCACTGCTAAAGTTCTGGAGGATGTGATGAAGACCAGAGAGAGAGAGAAACTACCCAACACTCTGACTGAGATGTACATAGAGTTCCTGCTGGTTCTACTCAACATCAAGGAGGAAAAGTTTGATGGAGGAAAAAAGAGCAAATCTATCTGGAGTCCAGAGAACAGGAAGCTGATTGAGTCTCTAGGAAAACTGGCTTTTGATCAGCTGCTGAAGGGAAACCTGATCTTCTATGACAAAGAGCTCAAACGGTGCGGCATCAACATCCAAGATGCTGCGTTGTTCTCAGGAGTTTTCACTGAGATGTTTAAAAGAGAGAGAGGGACACGCGACGTCTCCGTCTACTCCTTTGTTCATCTGAGCATCCAGGAGTTTCTGGCTGCAGTCTACATGCTCCACTGCTTCACCAGCAGGAAGTCAGAGGAGATCAAGACGTTCCTGGGAGACGAATACAGAGAAACATCTCTAGATGAGTTCATGAAGAAAGTCATGGAGAAATCCCTCAGCAGTAAAAATGGCCACCTGGACCTGTTTGTCCGCTTCCTTCATGGTCTCACTGTGGAGTCCAACCAGAGAGTCTTAGAAGATCTGCTGGGTCAGACAGAGACCAGTCCAGAAACCATCCAGAGAATCATCACCAACCTGAAGGAGATGAACGCTGATAGAATCTCTCCTGCCAGAAGCATCAACATCTTCTACTGTCTGGTGGAGATGAACGACGTCTCATTTTATCAGGAGATCCAACGGCTGCTGGATTCAGGGCAGGAGCTCTCAGAGTCTGACTGTTCAGCTCTGGCCTTCATGCTGCAGATGTCAGAGGTTCTGGATGAGTTGGACCTGAAGAAGTACAACACATCAGAATCAGGACGACTGAGACTGCTTCCAGCTGTGAGGAACTGCAGAAAGGCTCGGTGAGTCCAGATGTTTTCATTGTGTGATGCTGATTCAGCTCTATTGTCCTCCTGTTTCTTCTTCTGTCTTCAAGTTGATTCTGGATGTTTTTGCTCTTTATCTACTTCCTTCATCCTCTGGATTATTTTTCATAAACTTTATATTTTGTTTTTTACAGTTTCAGAAATATAAATACTTTGAACATTCAAACCTCCACTAACAAAAGCTGCAAAGTATCTTGTTGAACAAAGACAATTAAATAATAAAACAATAAAACCCAAAGTGAGAACTTTCACAATAAACTAGATGATTACATTGATCCTCCAGTTGGTTCCAGGTTCAGGTTTCTTCTCTTCCAATATTTTTATTGATCAGCAGAAAGTCTTCATGACAGTCAGTCTCTCCACTGGATGAATTTCCTTAATTATTTCCTTCCAGTCTAATGTGAATGTTCTGATGATCATCATCATCATCATCATCAGTGTTGCATGTTATTCGCCCAGGAAAACATTAAAACATTCTGGGGAGGAAATTTCACATGTTCTCTGATGAGATTAAAATAAGTTTGTGTCAAACTGACTGTCTGTTCGTGTCTGCTGCTCCTTTGTGGTGTTAATTTAAAAACTCAGCATGCAGAAGCTGCTGGTTGCTTATCTTGACTCTGAGAGCATTCTGCTAAAGAAACCAGGTTCTGCAGAGCAAGAGAGACGTTTTGTAACAAGCAGAATATTAAGTAGGGAACTGGTTACAGGTCTGAGAACAAACACAAAGCGTTCGGTTCCCATGTACACTCAATCAATCAATCAATCAATCAATCAGTCAATCAATCAATCAATCAATCAATCAATCAATCAATCAATCAATCAATCAATCAATCAGTCAATCTGATTGATTGATGTACACTCACTGCTAAGTTAATGAGGAATATTCATGAATATTTATCTTATGCTAGTCGACACATACAGTTACATTTAGATATCAAGCTGCAGCATTTATGATGCTGCACTATGCTGCAGCATCATAAATGCTGCAGCATAGTGCAGCATCATAAATGCTGCAGCATAGTGCAGCATTTATGATGCTGCACTATGCTGCAGCACTTATGATGCTGCAGCTCGTGGTAAAAATGAGTCAATTTTTTAAAATAAAGTGTTTATCAGAAAACCTAAAGATCAAATCAGGATTGATTTGACACCAGAGACAGAAAAATAGAGCAAAAGGTGATTTGAACTGCAGTTGGAACAATTATTGACAATATATACAGGGGTTAAAGTTCATCAATAACTGGTTCAATCCTCCATTAACCACAAACACTGAAAAATAAGTTGATTAAATTCATTAAAAATGTCCAAATGCTGATAAAGATCCAGTTCAGTTTCACCAAACCAAGAACCAAAGTACTGAAGAGGGAGTTGGGAAAGCATTTATTGATTTAATATAGATCAGATATTGACTCGATCAATATCTGCCGATAACAGATATTGATCAGTTATCGGCGTTTGATTCATCAATTTCAACCTCAAATGATTCGTTGACACATTTTCAACTTTGGTTCTGACTAGAATTGGATGATTGTTTGCTGATTGATCATTGATTATGGACCAGAAATCAATCATTCTGACTATAATCCATCGTTGACGTAGCATCCTGTGCTATCAGGTCGGCTAACTCCGGGTCAGTTAGCGTTAGCAGTTAGCGTTAGCAGTTAGCGTTAGCAGCTCATCGTCTGGTCTTGTTCCTTAATAGTTCCTCCCATAATGTTGTTGTTCTCTGATGGATCAATAAAAGCAGCAACGTGGCGATGAGGGTTCAGCCTCGGCCACAGACCCTTTCCTGAATCTGATAATCCACATTAATCTTAATCCTGGCAGAATGTGATTCATACAGACTGAAACAACCTATAATCTGATTATTAAAGCCAAATCTGTCCAGAGCTCAATAAAGATATTTCCAACACATTGAATCAAAAGCCTTTTCAGCATCTAAATGACTTTATTGATTCTGTTTAACCTTTGACCTGTGAGGTCAGGAGCCCACGTTGTCATGGG